ATTTATGTTATGAGTCCCATGTAATAGGGGGTGAGCCTATTGCCATATATCGGACTTCCAGACTCCGTACTGAGATTTATTTTTTACTTTGCTCAACCCGGGAATCGTACCCGAGACCCCTTGTCCAGCAGTCGCACTTGCAACCACTCGTCCAACGAATCAGACATACAAAGGTCACACTTTTATAACGATTCACTGGTTGAGTAACATAGTACGTAGCATATACAATATACATTTTATATAGCACCTACGCTAAGTCTCTCTCGCCTCATTTTTGTCACGGACAGTAAACGGTAACAACGTTCCAAATTACACATGGGCTTTGCGACGCTGTTATGTTGGCCGTTCTGAAATTGAAGCATGTTTCTCGTATATTTACATGAAATATAAAGGAGGATACGGGGAGCATACGGCCAATTTACGTTTATAAGTAACTATGTGCTATGTATGTGGCCATATTTGGTTTAAACTAGAATTTAAAGAATTAAGTTAGACTGCCGCGCTACGTGTTGCGGGTTCGATTCTCGCACGAAACAACTCTTCGTGTGATTGGTGATTGTTCCGGGTCTGGATGTCATGTGTATGTGATTTTTTTTTATGTTTGTAAACGCACCCACGACATAAAAGAAAATCTTAGTGTGGGACAACGTTTTATTTAAATAAATAAAACTCTTTTCTGCATCACCCAAAGGTCAGACTGGGAGAAAATGCCTGAGGCATTAAGTCCACCTTATGTACACTTTGTGCATGAAGCTTAACTCGTTGAGTACCCTCATAATAGGTTTCGGTCACCGGTGACCGCTCGGTGTTAGACAGTTTAAATAAATAAATAAATAAAAAAAGTTAGAGATTTTTATTTTCTTATGTTTAGTAAGCACTGAGAACTTTTCCGGAATTATCTTCTGAGATAGGACACGGAACAACATGCCATATACCCATGCTATGCCATAATTTTGCCCCTTATTGCATGGCAATATCAATAAACCAAGCGAAAACTGGGTTAACTACGGAACTCAACCAACCGGCGAAGAATTGCCATGATTTTATAACTAATCAGATTTAATAATTCTCTATCTTAGGGAACTCTAGGCACTCCTCATTATGAATCTAAATGAAATTCGCAGCGACAATTAATTAACTTAGGATATTAAATTGACTGTCAACAGAGTTGCTATGTAGTGGCTACGAACCGTACGCCGTAGTACGGTTACGGACTACGACGTAGCAAACGCGATAATGTCACGGCTACGAGAGCTACACTGCCGTAGCTGATAACCGATAATATTTACTCTAGTCAAGTTTTTCCTCGACATAGATTTTTTGTCGTGTTTTTATAACAATATTGTATTTAATCTTAGCTTAAGTATATTAGTCGTCTGAAGTTATGAAGTAAGAGTAACACATTAATGTTTACATTTTACATTTCAAGCCCAAAACCTAACTTTATATTACCAATTCTACAACTATTCACTACAGGGCAAAGTGAAACGATTCATCGAAATTCCTAATATTATTAAATACCTTCAAAACTTAGCGTTCTACAATATAACGTAGATATTACTCAGAAATTAATTTCAATGAAATATTAATAACAACAAGTAGGTAAGTACGTAGGTACCTACGCAATGTGTTTTTATTATACGGTTTTTTGTTAAAGTAAATGAATGGGATAATTTTAATAAGTTTCCTGCACGAGGCATATTAATTGTAGCTTTCGTTCTCTGAGAATTACTGAGGAACATTTCAAGGCTCTTTTAACATTATTTTGTATAAAGTCATGTTCGTTTAAGAGCGTTCACCCTTGGAAGTGTGACTTGCGAACAAGCGGCAGAATATTGCGTATCATTCTTCAAGGTAATCTGTCGAGTTTCGCTTTAAAGATGTGGGTTTGCGACCACCACGACATTGCAAGACCATAGCATTACTTTTTCATCGCAAAACGCAGAATTATGCAGTACTACCTTCTGCCAACTGCTTCATCCGCGTGCTCGTGAGATAAAAACTGGCATATGTCTTATTTCAAACCATAATCTGCCCTTGTACTAAATTTGTGTGTATGAGTGGTATAATGTGCAGAGGTGCACATTATACCACTGTACAATGTAACATCCATTTTTCACTATTTATGTTATGAGTCCCATGTAATAGGGGGTGAGCCTATTGCCACTACTACCTACTGGGAATTAAAAAAAAACCAGTAATATTTTGCCCGACCCGGGAATCAAATCCGAGACCCCTTGCCCGGCAGTCGCACTTGCGACCACTCGGCCAACGAGGCAGTCGAAATCAATTGTAGCATACCTTTCAAGTCTATGTATATTATCTTAAACCAAAAGATTGAAAGTAACGCAACATTTCGCACAATATTCCCCTGGTATTGCAGTACTAACGTGTTGGAAAAGATCACAGGCGACAGGTTTCTAGGCCGTCGCACGCGAACAACACAATAACGCCGCAGTTGACTTTTACTACTTAAGTTGACAAGCGAGCTTTACGCTCTCCTTCATTCTATATCGTGTACGTCATAATAATAGGCATAGGTTTTTGTTTTAAAAGAAGAGCGAACATAAGGTTCTTCAACAGGGCAGTGAATAGTTTTCTTAAACTGTCAAACACTGCGAGGACACCGGTGTCCACACACCTATTGTTCTTTAATTGTGTCTATAATGACGGTACTCAAAGGGTTAAGGGTCGGCAAGACGCATGTAATGCCCCAAGTGTTGCAGGCGTACATAGGCCACGGTAATCGCTTACCATCAGGTGGGCAGTGTGGTTTATTGCCACCGTCGTGGTATTTAAAAAAAAGTGAAATAGTATATTGAACATTTTTTTATCGGAGAATTGGAAATAGAAGAACATTGTAATTGGTCCATAGATTATAATATTTTTAACGACTTACAAACGTTGGTCTTAATTTTATTTTATTTTTATTTTGTTTTATTTTATTTTATTTACATCGGAAAACATACAGTATTAACAGCTAACAAAAACACAATTTACGCAACTAATAACCAATTACATGTTTTCGCATTTAGTTATCTATGAAGAACACGCTTGAAAGAGAAAAAATGAATAAAGTGGTAATTAGGAATTATGGCAAATACAATAATATTAATTCTTGCAGTGCTAAATGGAACAGCTATCGAACCAATGTTTTGTAAGTAATCGATTGAATACATGATGCTTAGTAACGAACAAGTCCAGTTCAGAAAAGTCGACCAGATTATTGTAGGACTTTGCGCATCTTATAAAGAATGAGTTCTGTCTGTAATTAGTGTGACAACGGGGAATGTTTAGAAGAAGGAAGGGTGTTCTAGAAGATCTAGTGGGAGCGCGTAAATTAATCTTGGACAGAAGTTCCGGGGCGTCGATATAAGTTAGTTATTCTAGTATTTTAAAGGACAGTCATTTTACAAATAGTTTTATGAGATCTATAATATGTTAAATGGATTAAAAACTCACATTTGTTTCTGTACTCATCATGTCCAATGAAGGATTGAACGTAATACAACATTTTGCTCTAAGAGAAAATTAAAAAAAATGACGCATAAAAAATGTTAACAAAACATTTTTGTAGTAGGTATATAAATTAATCTGTAATAAAACGAAATAATAATAAATTAAACCTATGGTATAAAATGCAAAATCACTATGTATTAAAAAATGATTCTATAACACACCAGACCAAAAATACCCTAACAAACCCCAGCTAAAATACCTCCAGATAACCAGTAATAAGTCACGCGTTCTATTCACAAAGTTTTCTAACTTCGACACGAGAATATTTTTTTTACACAAAATTCCGCCACCTTTACACACGATTAGGTGCTAGCCGAACCCAACAACGACCCATATCATTTGTATTACATAAACACACAATTACTGGTACATTTTCTTTGTTGCGCAGCTACTATTTACTTCTCTATCTAGGTTATCGAGTTCCTTGCATACAATACAACGTCAGACTGTCCCTCCCTTCCGATCCCGTACCTTTGTATTGACAACAGGTACATTGAATATTATGTTCAGACACAATTTGCATAAAGCAATTTATAGTAGCATTGTATAGCTTGCGATTAATATTGTTCGTGTGGTGTAACGATTTATTAGATTCTGTTTATATGTATCAGTAATATGTATTTGTATTTACGTCCGTCTCCTTGGAATTTATTTGGCTGTCCCGCCAACATTTTTTCCTACAGAATTCTGCAGTAACTGTATCGATTGGTCATATAACAGTATTTTTAGTGCCGTATACGCGGAGAGGATTGACAATCAATGTTGTTTTACAGCATCGATAAAATTTCTTGTTGAATAAAACGTTACTTGCTATACGTTTGATGATAAATCTTTTTGTACGAAGACTAAAGTATTTTTGTGAAATATTTCTTGTTTATTGTATCCCTAGGACCTAGGAAAATAAGCGTTTTACCTCGGAATGTGAGACAGTCGACTAAAAACTTGTCCAATATTTTTATTTTGAGAATTTAGCACTTGTCTTAAAAGTTACAGTGATATCATGCCCTCATCTATGGAAATTCGATGATCAAAAATAAAAATAAAACGATTTTACATATTTAGTGCAAATATTATTTCTTATCCTATGTATTTTATGCAATTTGTGCATCTACAGATACTGTAGGGTATTATGACAAGTATTATACCTACCAGACGAGTATCTCACATCCCTAAATCTTAGTCTTTATTATGATTATTTTCCTGAATTAATTATGTATCGCGTCTTGTAACAATATGTGGCTCATGTGCACACCACGAGCAATTCAGACAACGGTTTTATTTGTTTACAGAAAAACAATTAACAAAGTGGTACCATAATCTAAAATCCAACTTTATCTTGTTACAGATAACAACACCTAACTCACAATAAAATGCTATAAATACGATGCACCATCCTATATATAACTAAAACCAATTCATAACGGATCGAATGACGTCATCGTTGCATAGTATGAGGTGATAGTACAAGTGACAAATACAAGATGGCGATGGTAATTTCGCAGACGACGAAGGCTGCTATTGGTGGATTCTTGGCTCTGATGATCTTAGGAGCTGTTCTCGTTGTTGGTGCTGCTTTCGGGTGGTTCAATCCTAGAAGAGAAGATGAAGATACTCCAGCTAAAGTTAGTGCTAGACTTCAAGGAAGAACTTCTTTTGTTACACATCGTGCTGTGAGTATTAATTTGTTATTTGTTTATTTGTAAGGTATATGTGTAGTTATATGGTACGGAATCGTTTATAAAAAATAATTGTCTGTAACTATTAATTTTCTGTGTCAATTTATTTAATCTATAAAGGGCAATCAGATACAAGGGCAAGATAATGCAATAATAAGTTTACATTCGTATTGTTATACCTTTACCTGCTTGAAACATTAACTACTTTTCATAAATTTTGATAGATAGATAGAAGAGAGAGAGAGAGAGAGAGAGAGAGAGAGAGAGAGAGCGTGAGAGAGAGAGAGAGAGACAGAGAGGAGAGAGAGAGAGGAGAGAGAGAGAGAGAGAGATGATAGAGTACTGATCAAAATAGATAGGTAACCAAAAACAAATAAAAAGTTATTTAATACAAAATAATTCCGAATTCCTATTTCACCATTCACATCATTATTATTTTAGTTTTCCGTAACCCACTACCGCCACCTATATTCTCATTACAAATTCACATTTCTGACAATTTGCGTTGCACTGGGAGTTACGTTAAACTTTTCCAATTATCTCGGTTTTCCATTTATTTAGGATAAAAGGTTTCGTTTCATGCATGTTGATTTGGAAAAATAATATTTATTCGGTTTCATAGGTTTTAACCAAAACTAAAAAAGTTAGTATATTTAATTGAAATTCTATTACATTGCGTTGGAAACTGATAATCTTAAGAAAAATCGATGATGATTAAAGCTACGGTGACCGGTTACCATATACCATATCACGAACTTTATTGCTACTAATACTAAAAGAAAAAATGGCAATATTTTACCAGAACGCAAAAACAAAAGAATAACATGAAACACTAAACGAAATAAGGTAAAAATAGAAGCAAAAAGGTATGACGAATATACAGTCGTTTACAAGTAAGCCCCTAAACAAAACCATGTTAGAACATTCCCCAGATTTTTTCAAAACAACATTATGTTACCTTCGAGTTTTGTTTTTTTACTTATAGCTGTTTTTTTCTACGTTAAAATATACGGCAGTAAGAATGTTAGGCCACATCACGCCTTTTATCTACGAATGGGTATTCAGAGGTGTATCTACATTACGGCACTTAATACAAGTGAAACAAGTGAATTTATTTCTGCCAATAAGCTACAAGGCAGCACTTTTACACGTCAATTTTATCAAGCGAACGATGAGGTCGACATTTCGTAACTGACTACTCTGAGAAGAAATGCCGAAACAAACTCAGAGGTCCGTCTCTTTTAAAGTCCAGACAATAATGTATGTAATGCCACTGTACAATAACACCCACTTTTCACTATGTATGTTATGAGTCCCATGCAATAGGTTAGGCCACCTGGTCTAAAATTACTTTCGATTTTAGTGGTTAATGTGGTTATTCCTAATAATCCGTTTTTTATAGCTTTCACTCCTTGAAAGACACCAAAATAATTTAAGATTTAAATATTATTAACAGAAATATGCCACAATAAAATTCATTATGCATTCATCTTCTTCTTTCGTCTCTCGTACTTGCTTATGATCAGTAAAAAAATGTAGCAACTCATAATAGTCAACCTATAGTAAAAGGAAAATAAGACGATTGTAAACACAAAATCCCATTGTCCTTGACAGTAGATTTCCGGAGAGCCTTAATAGGTCATTAACCTTCTTGTCCACCCATAACAAGGTTCTGAATTGAGTGAACTCAATTTCACACAAAAACACTCGACTAAGCCTTTAGGTCCAGACATCGCCTAATTACAAGCACACAAAATTCATTAAAATTGCTCTTGTACTCGGCAAACATTGCAAAGCCTTACGTAAGTGCGAGTTCACTCCTACGGAGGTCGACCAATTTCATAGATTATAAAGAAGATAGCGCAAGCGAAACCCCTTCGCCGTGCTCACGATTTAAAAAGTTAACATTTTACCCGCCACCCGCAAAATGGCGGACCGTTTTCAAATAAAAACAAACGTTAATTAACATAAAACACAGGAGGTTTTAAATTTTTGTACCACAACACGTATTGACGATGGCATAATTTGATTTTTATTTTTGTTTAATCAGAAATTTGAGGTGGTAGATTCGGGGTTTGAAAAATTGGACTTGGATTAACGTGTCGGAAAACGTTATTACAGCTTTATATTTTAGGACAATGACCTCATGTTTGTGATTGTTATGGAACCTCGATAAAAGACTCAGAAATCGTTTTACGAAGCTTCGATATAAGTAATCGTTGATTTCATTAATGTTTCACGATAATATCGATGACAAATACACGTTACGCAACTCTATAACATTGATCCAGCTCAAATGCTGGTAATTTCTATTCTAATAAACTAAAAATTGTTCGAACGGATTCCTTTATGAGCATTTAAGGCATAACACTTCCCATATAATTTTATAGTTTGATCCGGCTTCATTTTGCAAAGCATTTCGCTTGCTTATAAAATAACTGGGTTATTTCTGGCGGATTTTACAAACGCGTGTTTTAAATAATATACGAGTATGTATGTATCGCTCAACCTATTTTCCTTAAGGGCACGCTTTCCTTGATTTATCGAAAATTCCTTTGAAGTAAGGCACTTGAAGCATCTTCACCTAAAATGCAAAAACGCTCACATTTCTCAAGATCCCAAATAGAAGTTGGGAAACAAACATTTTATCCCGTATCCCGTATCCCGTACGCCGTATCTCGCTAGAGCTACGACTGAAAAGCTGATACAACTCAAAACTCATACAAATTGTATCGAAATGAGATCTTTAAGAGTATATATTATACGAAAAGGTTTAGCTGATAAAACAGCGGGTATATTGGTATTGTCCGTCAGAGGTCTGAGTTTGGAGCCCACTCAATAGATTTCACAAGAAACCCTTCTGTAGAAGAGTCAAGTCACGCCCAGGAGCACTCGGATCGAGCATAGTAAGGTACAGTCGCAACGATACATATAAATAATTCATACGAGTCGATATTGAAACAATCCGCTTTCGTATACGAGTAGGTACTGTTTAGAAGGCATCTCTTAAGGCCAAGCTCGGATAGTGTATCGTTCGTAATCATGCAAATAGGATTTGGGTGGATTTAAAAATTATGTTGCTTTTATCCGTAAATGGTTTTGGTACGAGTAATAGAGCAAAGTAAATTGCCCGCAGCCTAATCCGGGTATTAAATAAAAACATGTAGATTTTGTACTTGTTATCCTTTGTTATTTTAGTGTTATTGAGTTTGTAACCTTTCTTGTAATCGGGAAAATAGGTTCAGTTTTATTCTTTGAACTGGGTTTATAGTATAATGTTATTTGTTGCTTTTGTATCGTGATCAGCAGTTTGGGTTTCATTGAAGTATTTGACATTATATCTATATTGAGTTGGGTTTGATAAACCGGTAAGGTTGCAGGCTAGTTGGGGTCAGTAGGTAAAGAGCTAAATTCATTGATCTATAGATAGGATTTTCTTCGACAATGGTACCACCTTACAGATGCACAAATGTTATTCCTCATTGTCACATTTTAAGGTTAGAAAGAGAGCGAATTAGTTTCTAGTTGCTATCATTGTGATTTTTATTTCATCAACAACAGCCTATAAATGCCCACTGCTGAGCAAAACCTATTCTCACACGGATAAGGTTTGAGCAATAATCACCACGCTTGCTCAATGCGGGTTGGTGATTTCAAACTTATAATTAGAAATTATATTCCCAGGTTTTCTAACGATGTTTTTCTTCACCGTTTGTCAGTGGTGTCTGAATAATCTTAGAAAGTACATATAACTCGGAAAAAGTCACATTGGTACTTGCTGTTGGTAGGTTTCGAACCCGCACCCTCACGCATGAAAAGTGGGCGTCTTAAACCTCCGGACCACCATGACATTTTTATTTAATTAAAGCATAATAGTCTAGGTATGTAAAGAACAAAATGTAAGTGAAGCTAGACAAAAAAATTGTACTACAGAAAAATCAATACATATAACGTCTAAAAGGTTATTTAACTTGTACACGTGGATTCACGATGTGATTACAAGCTAATAATGAAGGGGCTTGTAAGAAAGTAATGTTTTTATTCACTGTATACATAAAGGCTACTTATACATATTTCATGTCAAAGATATAAAGAGCAAAGGTGTAGTTCTACTATTACATGGGATTCACTCACCCCCTTTTACATGGGACTATAAATAGTGAAAAGTGAATATAAATAGTGAAAAGTGGGTGTTACATTGTACAGTGGCATAATGTACACCTCTGCCTACCCCTTCGGGATAAAAGTCGTGATGTTATGTGTATGTGTAGTTCTACTTATTAGTTTTTAACCGACTTTAAAACAAAAAAGGTTCTCAATTTTACCTGTATGTATGTAAGTTAGTTAGTGCGCGCTTATATCGCGATCGGCTGCACTGATTTTGATGTGGTGTTAAAAAAAGTGTTCGTTACACTTAGGAGAACGTTTTAGCATATGAATCAACCGACTTCAAACAACTTGGTATGAACTTAGTTTTTGTAAACGTAGTTTGTTTATAAAATAATTATTCTTGAACTACTTTATACTGCTTAATACAACAAATAAATTGATAATCTAAAACCACCTATGAAAAATATGTAGAAAAATATGAACAACATTGTTTTGTTTAAAAAAAGTTCAACAAATACTCGTCAATCAAGAGCTACAGCAAAAAATCAAAACCCAATTACCGTATCGTTGGATACTGGAAGATAATCTACAATAAACAACAGCAGAATTGACCCCAAACCCACCCTAAAACTGGAATTACGATTATTATTACAAAGCGTAAACATCTGCCAAGCAAAAAACGACCTTAACCCCTTTAATTAAAAATGACCAACGGGAAATTAGCATTCCGATTAAATTTTATAACAATACCACTTTGATAACTTTTCACTCAATAATTATTACGTATATTTTGTTTACAAATGTGCGTCGCCATTATGTTTACAATTTATTATTAGTTCCCAATTGTTTTGTGCCTAACATTATGCCCGCGGCGTACGCTTGTT